TCCTATCCTGTAAACGAAAGTCATTGCTTGGATATTATATAATCAGATGGAGGGGGGGGGTGGCCTGAATGGTTAGCGTGTGCGCGCTGTATCATAAAGTCTGTCATTGAGTCAACTGGAGTGGTTTCGATTCCCCGGTTGTACGTGACAAGGAGTAGGGTCGCCTGTCCAATCTCGTTGGTTTTCTCCGGGTCCTCCGGTTTCCTCCCACTGCTAAAGACCCCTACGCGCAAGCGAATTATTGAAATAAAATTGAATCATATGTAAGTCCTGAAATGACCTAGTTTGTGTCGAGTGGACGTTAAACTCCATTTCTCTCTCTCTCTCCATAATTAGATGAATCTTGTTAACAATGATAATGCCTCTTTAACACAAAAATACGATGTGTATTTATGTCGATATAGATCTATATATCTGGTGTTGGCAGACATGATACGATATCGTAATTACATCAATTGAACGCAATAATACCAGTATAACTCACTAAATATCACGATATTTTCACAGATGTGTTCGAAAACGATATTACATCACAAGATAACCGATTCATTACAGCAGATCCTACTAGAAACGTATATAATGTTAAACATATAATATACATCTACTTATTTCAAACAATTTCTTATCATTATTTACATTGACATCTACACGAGCTTTTAACCAAGAACAATATGTACATACGAATTCTCCCATCACGTGTCCATCAGACTTGCCAGCGATTTTTAAATATTTGTGCCAAAGCATGAAATTACGAGTACCTTTTGCTATTTCTGAAAGGGTACTTTTATTTGTAAAAAAAATTATATGATACATGCCTTGACATTATGTTATAATTAGGCCACAAATTCTATTTTGGAATAGACCACGTAAATGACGTAATGCGTTATGCACTGTGGTGTTAGTTTGGTTAATTTTGGCTTTTAGGCGTGGAACTAAAATAAATGTCTCACAGCCTTACTCGGCTGTTATGGAAGTTCAAGTCATTCCACAATCATGCTCGCGCTACGGCACTGAAAGCATTTCTTCTTATATCGAATTCTGTTTTCAAAATAAGCCGCGGTGGTCATTTGGTTAGGGTCTTGGATTCACGAGGATTTCAGATTTTGCAAGTATGCACCTCAAATGTTTAATCGTTCTTGTGGGAAGAAAGCCAAGGGACCCGTTGGCAGATGGGTCGACGCTGTTAGGGGTAAAACTCTTCCGCTCTCTGTGCCCCCGTGACCATATAGAAATGATTTTAAAATGACAATATGTTAGTCTCAATTGAATCGAAGTTATGCTCATTATGTATATTGTGCATTGAAACAAGTTTCCAGTTGTTACGCATTATTACGCATCAAACTACATTCTCAACTAGTCTGAAATCGATGGCTACCAGAATATACGTTGTGTTGTTCAGTAAACTATTTCAGCGTCCAAAGGGTAAATCTCAGCTTTTCGTCCCATCCGAAAAGCATTTGGGCGAGGCGTCGAGCCTGTTTTTTGCCACACCAGAAAACCACATTCTCACTCTTACTAAAACGAAAAGCGTAAAACCCAAGACAACAAAAAAAAGCAAAACATAGCCTATAATACAGGACTATAACATATGATTCGAGAAAATCGTATGTATATACGAACCTGGCAAAATATTTAGCCCTTGTTTAAAAATGATGGTCACGTTTAACTAAATATTTAAAAGATTAAAGGTTCCGTCAACATTGTTTGAATGATTCAGCTAATACGGCATGTATGAAGAACAATAAACAACTTTTTCAAGAACATGGTATTTTTCTGGAATGTTTTAAAATAACTATATAAATAGATGACGTTGGTATGTGAAAAAATCTTCACAATCCTTGAAATCTCCTGGTGGTACCAGAAATCCTTAAGGCACGCACACAGTTTTATTGCCAGGGCAATTAAGTTTGGTAGACAGTCAGGCTCTTCTTTGTCGGGCCGGGGAACATGGACGAGCGTCAGTGAATGGATTCGAGCTCGGATGGATTGAGCGAAAATGAGTTTCTGTGTGTACCTTAAATGTGCAGAATATGGTGAATGAAAGCGTCCATTTAGACCATTCGCCGCCTTTTTTGTCATGCTGGCTTAATGAAGACTTTTGCGTTACAACTGGAAACACGACAATCTAAATGGAGCCCCACACAGGCATTACCCCATCCGATACAACCCGAACTAGAGTTGATCTTTGGTAGTTTGACGTCACCTGTTTACCATCGGTATCCCGAGGATGTCTGTTTACATGGTTTACCGTTACAATGTTAAACGAGCCAAAATTAAAGTCTGCGTTTTCTTCATAAATTTGAATTCCATGCGATGAAATAATCTCAACAAAAAGTGAAGCAATGGTTACAAGCATTATCCAGGGCCGTATGTAGAATTTTAAAAGTGGGGGTGCAGCAGAGTGGTGGGGCGCCATAGAATCCACGTATGTGATATGAAAGTTTCGATCAGGGCAAACGAACCCATTGGCGTGTGGGCGCCCTTAAAACCGATCGACTGATCAGTGCCTTAAGAGCATCACTGTGTGATCATAATCAAGTGTATTATTTTATAAGTGAAAGATAGTAAAATAATTTTTGGGTTTTTTTTGGATGGGGTGGGGGGCGCAATTTCTCGGGGCGCCTTATTTTTCTGAGGGTGCAATGTACCCCCTACACCCCCGCTAAATACGGCCCTGGCATTATCAGCTACTGTAAAAAATCGTTATTGATTAGTTATAATATGTTTACTCTGGTTCCGGTTCCTGTATAATTCGAATATTTCTAGAAGCTGGCCAAAGGTTATCTCCAAAGCGCAAGCGATATGATTTCAGACAGTTCTTTAGAGATTTCAAATCCCAGTATAGCTTCTAGTGCAACTTGCATTTAGCTGATCGATAGATTTTTTAAAAAGAAATCATAATTTGTGTCTCTTTGAATAGTACAAGAAGTGAGACATAAAAATTTGTAATTCCAACAGCATTAGTTGTATTACTATCCTTTACATGCACCATGCTTGCTATTCAACCCACTCGGACGATGAGACTAACTTCCTTCCCGGCATTTAAAATTGCCGAAGCACTAAACATTTTAAAGGTCATTTAATTCAATAAATGTTGCAATACATCCATTCGTCATTGATGATTTTAATCAATATGTGACGCATCTTTTTATCTGATCCGCGAAGCGAGACGAAGATTAGGACTGCGTATTTTATTTTTTCTATATGAAAAGAATATTCATAAGTACAGTAACGTTAACCCTTATTTTGTCTATATAATCGTTCGGTAGAGACAAAAAAACAAAACAAAAAAAAACAACAAAAACTTCTGTGTACAATTTGGTAATGGCAACAGAAATTCTACCTGGGCAAAATCCACAACTCGCATACGTAACCATGTCAGTCTTAAACTAATCGAATTGTGTTGATGATACAGGGGGTTATTTTGATCGTGCTTATACGAGAAAGAGATTGGGAAAAAATACCTCGGAATTATGCGATTCATTTATTATCCTATAAAGTAGAATTTTAAAAGACGGCGAATTTCAACTGTGAGTGTCAAGATTCTTTTACTTGCCCGGTTTGAAGTCCTATCCGAACGCTTGGCCAAAACTATTCTTTTTCAGCTACACATTCCCTAACCCTAACAAGCGGAAACAATTACAAGGCTTGAGAAATCCCGAGGGTTCGTTCCGTGACGTTGTGTGTACTGTACCTTTATTTTCTGCATCCACCCGGGATTCTGGGCAGAAGAACAAGGTCATGCGTTGAATGACTGTGTCAGAGATCCCCACAACAATGATAAACAAACACTGAACTAAAGTGAGTTGTTGACAAGTTTTGCTAAAACAACAAATCGATGTGAATTTGTTTACTGTTTGTGAATTCTCGTCATTAAAGACAACATTTAGACGAAAGTTTTAATGTTTTGACTACAAAGTGTGTGATATGTAACCTACATTACTTCCATGAGATTATTCTAATTACAATATATATCAGAGTCAAAGCCTTATATTTTGAGAATAAAAAGGACATAACCTCAAATTTGGAGGCAAGTGCCTTTATAGAAATCAGCTCAAATTAACGCAAATCACTGTAAAAAAGCAGTGTGAGCTCCAAACCGGAGTAAGCTTGCATGGGGTCCCTTGCTGAATGGGTCCCTCCCTTGCATCAACTATGAAATGGGGTTATCAATCGGCGCATGCCCCCTGATTGCTCTACCGTAGCTGCGAAAATTTCATATTCCCATATTTTATGACATATTTAGTTTTGATATTAATTTGGGGGACCCTGGCTGCAACCCGGTCGCCACACCCCGCCCCCACCGGTTAGATCTATTTGGTAAGGCCAACTTCAAGTTTGGTCAAAGGTCACGAGATGTAAACAGGGTTAGAGCTAATCCCAGCCCTAACTCTAAACCTGGACCTAACCCTAACCTACAATCTCGCCAACAATCACGTGCCCTAACCCTAATTACATTTCATCGACCTTGACGAAAATTGAGCTGGCCTTAACAAATAAATTTCGCCCCCTCCCCTCCCTTAATCCTTGTGTGCGCCGAAACACCACCGCACACAAATGGTATCAAATCAACATAACTTGACAATTATCCAATAAGTCTGCTATACGCCTGCAATGTTCAGCGGGGAATGCTCTCAGCGAGGACTGCTCTATCATATCAATTATCACTTAAATTTTACCAGTTTGTCGACGAGAAAAATAACGGAATAATTTTAAAGAAGCTAATGTTTCATCACCTGGTATCAAATATGTCAACACGACCAACATGAAATAATTACTACATTCTACAGCTTTTATTAATGAAGAAGACATTGTAATCAATACAAGCCCTATATCGATCTCCTTGACTTGTACATAGATAGTATAGAGAGTAAATGAATGTCAATGAAGGTATTAATACTTATATATTATATACCACGACAGTCTTTCATCATCACAAATATATCCATCATATAACTCATCTTTCAATTAAAATGTGTAAATTGAAAAAAAGGACTTACCTAAACACCAAATGACAACATCAATGACAATTTGCTTAGTTATTAACGTTGTTTTTCTTTGACACATTTTGGTTGAATCGTCTGTATTGTTATCCCTATTCATAACTGCCGGTACAATAGTTTGTTAAACTGCAAGTTCTTTTACAATTTACCAATTACACATCTGACTAAACTCTAATAAGAATTAAAGAGCGCTGTCGTTTTATACGTTGTGATGACCCTTCACCCCTAGCTGTATATAAATGACGTCCCGTATCTACGGAAATGAAAGACTGACGTCCACACGTTGGTGTTATATCATTTCCCTCTCACAACGCTATTTCATTCAGTTGAAGTGTAGTAGGCCGAGTCGTTTATACTCTCCCTAAACGTAGATAACCAACGATGATTGTTAAAAGATTGCATGTACAAACAAATGAGTAAAGTAGAGTCTCTATAGAAATTATGAGCGAAATTTCTCATGGAGAAACTCATTTAGAATTTACCTTTTAAAAGAACCACCAAGCGTGTGATCACATTGTTTGTCGATATACTGTTCCAACTAGCTGTAAGTCTGTGTGATTCATTTAGATCTCAACTATTGAAAAACTGCGCTTGGCATTTTCAATGGTAGTCGCGGTTATATGCGTAAAGACAGCAATGATAGCTAACGAGAAGCAATCAATGAATAATTTTCGGGTTTTTATATATGATGCATCGGTCCGATGGAACAAAAATAAACGGAGTACAAGTTATATTGCGTTTTGTGCAGCAATGCGGGCACCGCCCTCGTTAAATATACAGTCAATGCTAGTGCTGTATTTTTAAAATTTAAATACGTCACCGTTGTTATACAAGCTATCCATACATCGAACTATACCATTCAGTTCTCAAAATCGAAGTGAATGGGGGGGGGGGGAAATAAAACGGTCTAACGCGTGTGTTTCAGTTCATAAGCTCTGTCACAGAGTCTAGTGGCGTGTTTTCGATCCCATGCTTCTACGTGACAGAGAGTAGGAACACCTGACTAACCTCGTGTATTTTCACTGGGTCCTGCAATTTCATCCCACTACTAAAGTCCTCTATGCGTAAGCGAATTTTTTAAATAAAAAAAATGTACCATACGTTGGCTCCAAAATGGGGATCACGTGGCTAAGTGGGTAAAACGCTGGCTCGCTAGCCTGGAGGTCAGGTGTTCGATCCAGATTTTCCGGCGTGGTTCCCCCTTGTCAGTGATGCAGGACGGAGGGCCTGACAAGGACAGCTGTCTAGTCCTTCGGATGAGACGAAAAACCGAGGTCCCGTGTATACATTGGAATGCACGTAAAAGATCCCTTGGCAGTTGGAATTCGATATAAGAGTAGGCCGGAGCGCCGCTGTCCGGGCAAAATTTCCCTCATAGCACACTGTATGACGTATGCCCGTCTTCATTAGCCCAGCATAGGAGCAGAACAGTAGGACGTTAAACCCCATTTAATTTCATTTCATGGACCCAAAATGACCTAGTTTGTGTTGTGTGTGGGTAATCCCGTTAGATTGAAACCACTTTTATGTAAAGGATAATTTTATAAATTCTCTTTAAAGATAGTTTGTATCCTTTATTTGGTTATTTGAATAATAGGACAAGGATTGTGGGGAAAGCGGGAAATGACAAAATTGATGACCAATAACAATTGAATCTGAGATGACGGATATGATAAGATAAGAGAGCTGCTAAATTTAGTTTTGATGTCGACAAAGACGATGATGACGACGATGACAGTGAAGATTAGTTTACTGTAGGCGAGAGCCTCCGCCCTGACAAAAGATATTATAGTGCAATCTAAATAGCTTTGGTAAAGTATACAACTTTAAATGAGGGTGGAACTATGAATTATATATAGTCAAGTAGCATACAAGATCCGTGTATTCCTATCTAAATAATATTCTGCTAAAGTAAACATATATAATAAGTAGATGCTAATTGTTTCTTATTTGTCTAAAAATAATATGAAGAGGGTTGTTCTGTGAGGGTGGATACTTGTATTTAGACTAGTCAAGTTTATGGAATACGATATTGCAAAAAGTAAACATATATATATCAGTTATACCATATGTTACACGATAATAAATATATTTGTTAAAATATTATGACGTGATGTTAATCAAATCACAAATATTTTAGGCGTGGACAAATTTAATCTACACAAGATTCCACTCATTTGAAGAGACGTTTCATAAATATATTGCAAAACAAAAGCACTAAAAAGAAAAAGTGGTATTAAGTGTTCTAAATATAGTACACATATTCTACATCGTTCACGACACCCTTCCTTATTCCTACCTACACAGAGCGATAGTCAGAATGTAGATTTCAGAAGCTGGAGTTATTAATATTATTTCCAAAGCTAATTAACAATTGCTACAGTTATTGTGGTAAATTGAAGTGACATTTCTGCTTCCGGTGCCTATATCGACCTACAGGTAACCTGGTCTACGTTTATCCCCGCTGCGTATTAAATTTAGACTGGATACTGAAATGAAATGAATTGGAGTTTAACGTCCTATTGCAGATTGGATAAACTCACTATTTCTGGACAAATAATATAGGTCGCATTGAAACGAAATATGCATTTCTGAAAAGACTGAGCAATGCCAAGGCGTACTGATAAATTTGATTAGCTAACTTGGAAGATCAATGAAAACCATAGCTTAAAATTGCTATTTGTTCTAGCACTGGTGCTCGCTACCATTGCTTTAATGAAATGCAATGGGGTTTAACCTCCTACTGTTCTGCTCAGAACTGGGCTAATGAAGACGTGTGCTTTGAGGGAAATTTTGCCCGGACAGCGGCACTACGACCTACTCTTATATCGAATTTCAACTGTCAATGGATCTTTTACGTGTACATGGAACCTTGGTTTTTCGTCCCATCCGAACGACTAGACAATTGTCCTTGCCAGGCCCTCCGCCCTGCATCACTGACAAGGGGAACCCACGCTGGAAAATCTGGACGAACTTTCTTGGCCAATGCAGGGATCGAACACCCGACCTCCAGGCTAGCGAGCCAGCGTCTTACCTACTTAGCCACCATGATCCCGCTTTAAGAGCATAAAGGTAGTGGGTATATATTAATCTCACAGTAATGTCAACCCACATAGTTACCTTGCAAATTGTTTATAATAGTATAACACAAAATGTTCGCCACTTGAAATTGAAATAAATGAGGAGTGATATAATGAGTTCTCGAAAGAATAAGCATTCTCCATCACCTGCACGATGCGTGTCACTACTTTCAGATTAATGGAATTATAAAAGGTCAAACGAAAATTCACAGTTGCATCAGATGTTCTAGAAAGAGTACTCACATCCTTCCACATTCACGACACCCATCGCCCGTACAGCAATGGTTTGGACTTTGATTTCAGAAGTCTGTAAGCTATTTGATTGTGATTTGTTTTTGTGGCGCATCTTTAGACGTTTGTTTATAGCGCCATGTAATTTCTTTATCAACTTTAATAATTATATTTCGTGTAGAATATCACGGTAGGAAAAATAACTCAAAATAACTTTCAAAGGAATGTAAATACTGAATATATTCACAAACTACAAGTACATATATAATATATCTTTGTAACAGCTATTTAAAAGGAATTGAATCAAAGAAACTTTAACACGTCGCTGCCTTTTATTCGATTACCTTAAATAGGCTGCTATAGAAATCTCTATGACGTCATTATATTCATATAAACTTCTCATGCAATTCTTTGGTTAGTAAAGTATGACACTTAATTATTATTGACTTGCATATAAGTTATAATTGGTTTAACCGTGTCATTATTGACGACATGCACTCTAAAATGTCAAACAATATGTACTAATAAACATAATCATTAATTTTTGGGCATGTCGGAAGGTATACTTATGCCAAATTTCTCAAGTCAAGCCTTTTAGAACAATCTATAACTTCCGTATTTCAAATAATCGACATAAAAATATAAATGTGTAATAGGCTATTAAGTGCTCTCACAAGCCTTTTAAAAAAATAAAAAGATATAGTTCTACATGGTGCCTGTCAAATACACCGGGATCACGCCTAGAACGGCACGGTTTGACTTGATACTCAATTTGATAACTTTCTTACAAAGTAAACGAATAAGAGCACGCCGTCTTTGCAAGTTAAATGATCATAAGTAAACCCAAGAAATATATAATAACAAGCGAAATAATGTTTGTCTAGGCGTGTAAAAAAGGCGTTCTCTATAAAATGATACTTTGAACGAATACAGTGATAAGGTGTAAACACCACTGCCTTAACAAATTTCCCCAGAACAACATGACATTTGTAGGGTGTAACCGAGCTGTTATAAAAGTTATAAAATATTGTCATATTCAACTTGTGCAATTTAACCTGGTTGGACTGTGAAGCCTGGCGTATAAAACAGTTGGTGTGGTTCCTCCTTGTCAGTAATGCAGGACGAAGGGTCGGACTAGGACAGCTGTCTAGTCGTTCGGGTGGTACGAAAAACCGAGGTCCCATTGGCGTGCATGTAAAAGATCCCTCATAGCACACTGTATGGCGTATGCCCGTCTTCATTAGCCCAGTTCGGAGTAGATAGGACGTTAAACCTCATTTAATTTCATTTCTTTTGTATAAAACAGTTATCAATTCTTGTCTGAATTCTAAATTGTAAACTTTCATTTTTGGTTAAAAGTGTATTTACGTTTGAGGTTAAATTAAAATAGCCTCATATATTTAATGCAGCATAAATGTTTACCGAATTGGGTTGGTTTGAAATTATAAAATTAGTATGCCCCACCCTGTACATATTAGTAATTAAGGTGTGGACTATATTAATTATTATAAGTGTTCTCAATATTGCATCCCTTCATTGGTATTGATCATTTCACTGTCTTTATAATTTACATCAACAAGAGCAAAGGGCGTATAACTCTATTCTTTGGAACCGTAAATAGGCGAAAATGAGTCTAAAACACATATTAAACATACATTATGCAAGAGCAAAATCTGCCTATGAAAAGTCTTTCTTTAGGCCTGAAATGTTATCTAAATTATCAATTAGACATTAATTAACTTATCCAGACCATAATAAACTCTCGATGTCAAGGCTAGCCTTCGATGTTGGCTGGATTAGATTCCTATAATATGCCGCTAACGGCCACTGATAATTAAATCAGAAAAAGTGGATAATCGAGACTATGCTGTATATATAAATGATTTTAGTAATGATGACCGAGACTATGCAAAAATTTCACCCGCTTCTTTCTCGGCTCATAGTGGATCAATTTGACTGAAATTTTCAGCAAATTAACTTTACACTATCTAGTTTTTAACTATTATAGCGAGAACTGCCATCTCTATATCTTATCTCTCATAATGTATCTTTAATGTAACATGAGTGTAGATAAAGTGATTTATATTTAGTTTTCAAAAAAATATTGTAATTTCTAATCAATTGTG